TATTCATCCATAATCGAAGGATATGGATCGACACTGTGGTTTCACTTGTCTATTGAAGAAAATGTTGGATCAGTGTAATCGTTTTGATTGATTCTATCACAGTAGGAGGTAGATCAACACCTGTGTCACGTTAGATTCTATCACAGAAAGAGGTAGATTAGTGTCAACCCATCACAGTAGGAAGTGGGCCAACGTTGACATTTTGTTTGATTTATCATAGTAAGAGGTGGATCAACATGGTTATTTTGCTCGATTCTATCACATCAGTAGGTAGATCAACATCTCAGTCGCGTTAGATTCTATCACAACATAAGGATGATCAACATCACCTTTTATTCGTTTCCATCACAGAAGGAGGTGGAATGACATAATCCTTGTACTTGATTCTATCACAGAATAAGTTGGATCAGTACTCCATTTTTCTTGACTCCATCACAGAAGGAGGTAGGTCAGTATCAGTATTTGTCTGAAACCATCACAGAAGGAGGAGATCTCATCTATTTATGTCCAAGATAATTGAAGATAATGGTTGGCCAGATAAAATTGGTGTTTTTTGTCTTAACTTCATTCCCGTTCCACAGAAATAAGGAAAGAGGGGCAGTTGTCATTATCCATTTTATCCGAATGATAGTGGTATTTTTTTAAAAAGGGCTTTATGGTTATAAATAAATATATAGCATATAACTTTAAATATAGTTTTGGTTAAATGTATTATTAGTATTAGCATATAGTTTTTGTAAATATATAGTGATTTATGGTTTTTTTATTAAGTGTATAGTTTGTTTCATTAGTATTACATATTAAATATATTATATGATATAAGGTTTTAACATTACATAGTATTGATGTACATATTAGTTAATATTTTTTTTTATTAATTTGATGTGCATGTAGTATTCATATTAATTACAATATAGTTTGCATATTAGAATATAATATACTAATATAATAAAATCTACTATGTTAGCTTATTTTCATTTTACAAATATTAAACCTAATATTATAAATAAAGGAGCCCATTTTATTTAATATGTTAGATCCATTACAATAAAATAATACCAATTATATAAGTGCCCATTACAATTTTATTCCATAAGCCCAAATACAAACCCACTTTACTTCAAAAAATATGAAAACCCTAATTTTACTCTAGTTTTATTGCCAATTGCTTGAAATTTGGAGGGATTTTTAACTTTTTCATGCCTTGGGAAGATACATGGTAGGTCCCATATCTTTAATGCATGAGTTTCCAGATTTTGCTAACTTGGTAATCTAAGTGAAAGAAACAAAACTCAATTTGGACCATTGATCAAGACTTCATCCAACGGTTAGGAGAGTGCCATGTCATCATTGGAAAGCCTTCATCGTCGCCAGAATATTGTCGACACGTGGCCAACATGGTGGCGTCGCCGTTGACGCGCGATGCTCACGCGTCACCTCGTCGTCTTCCATGCTCTGGTCGTCATCGTTTAGAGCCGAAAAAATCATAAAAAATACAAAAAAAATCGTTAAAGCAAGAAGGAAGCTTCTAGCATCTCAAGAATGAAGTTTGTTGGAAAAAATGGTTATAACAAACTTTAAGTGGGATTATTAACAAACCAAGGTCATTTGTTAGTATAAAGGAGCACTAATCACACCATAATCATCACGAGTTAACAAAGCTTCAACTATACTGAAAGAAATGAGGGAAAATAAGTGAAAAGTGAAGAGTAAACCCTCGTCAGAATCTTATCGGAGTGTCACTGAAAGTTTGAGATTTGCTTGAAGGCTTGTATCGAAGGTGGGCCTTGTTTATTGTTTTGATTCTTTATTTGTTTCGAATAAAGGGGCGGTTGTCAGGTTTCATTGGTTGACTGTCGGTGGTCGTAGTAGCTAGTGACCAACAATAGACGGTCGGAGTGGTGACCAGAGCTTGTGTGGTTCAATTTCGGGTAGCCTGGGTGAGAGGAGCTTGGGTTTAGTTCTCATGAGCTAAAGGTTTAGTTTTAAGTTTAATTGAAGAATTCTTTAGGATCTTGGAAGTGTTCTTGGGATATGAGTGGTTTAGATCTTGAAAAACAAGTTCGGGATAAAGTTTTGAGTTTATGGAATTAAAGGAGATAAATGATAAAGAACAAGTTTGTGTTCTTGGAAGTTTTTTGGGTGTTTGATCTTAAAGAAACGTGTTTTGGAGGTATTTGGGTGTTTGTGTGGGATAAAAGGAGGTTTTTTTTTGGATGAATAAGGTTGAGTATAGGATGAAAAAAGAAGAACATGGGAGAGAAATTTTCGGTTGAGAGTGTTTTGGAGGGGAGGAGAAATTTCTTGGGTGAAAATGAAGCTTGTCCTAAAATTTTGGCGTTTAAATCAGAAAGAAATTTTGGGGAAGTTATTTCATAAATCCCCTACTATACCCGTGTTTTGTTTAAGGGATGTGGTATTTCATTTCTTTTATTTTGGACACCATCAAATTGTACTTCAAGAGCTTTATATTTTCGTTAAATTCAATTTAGTCTCCAATTATGTTCCATGTGCTTTTAAATATGTTTATTTATTGCATGTATACATTATTTTTTCAACTCTTTTATTTTATTCATGTTTGTAATCATAAATTAAAACCGTTAGATTTTAGGTTCTTTAGTTTTAGTCACTTATTAGATTCAATTAGAGCCTTTAGGAATTAAGTTCTTTTCAAGTTCAATTAGAGATAAAACTTTAAGTTTAGTTTCTTTAAAAAGAAATTGAAACTCATTTAAAATACATATTTGAGATGAATTAAAAGATATTTTTTTATTTTCTAATATTGAAAAGAGGGCTCCTAACATATGTAGACGTTCAATTTTAATATTATTAAATAAATAAATATTTTTCAAGTAGTCATTTAAAATTAAATCAGGTTCTATTAATTAATAAATACATGTTAATTTCTTCTTCTTCAATAACCTGATTAATTGTTTAAGCCCTAGAATTTTTTAGGATTTTATTATTTGTTTTTTTAAAGGAAAAAAAACTTTGTAATGTCATTTTTTTAATTCAACCATAGGGAGTTGATTTCCTCGTTAATTAAAAGTAAACAAATTGTTTAATATTTTCCTAATTTTCTTAAAAATATAGAAAATGCCAATAATATTTCAATTAAAACATAATAAATAATTTCCTTATTACAACTAGAGAGTTACTTTCTTCATTAATTAGACATTTTAGTTTTTTTTAATATCTTAGAAAACCGAACAACCTTCTAATATTCTGATTAAAAGACAAGAAATAATTCTCTTAACACTACTAGGGAGTTACTTTCTTCTTTAATTAGAAATAAATAATAATGATGTTTTTCTACAAAAATATTTTAAAAATATTTTGAGGATTAAGGGATTATAAATTCAAATTCTTTAATTTCTAATAATAGGGACAATAGTATGATTGACGGTATCGATTTAGGGTATTGCGGGGTGCTAATCCTTCCCCGAGCGTAATTGAGACCCAGACCCAAAATCTCTTAAAACGCAATCCACTCGTATTTTTTAATTTTTTATTAAAATTATTTAAAAGGACGATTTCTTGGGTTTTCGACCTACCTAATCCCAAAGGCCGATGTCGACTCTAACCTATTCCAAACATTTTTTTTTAATTTTCTTCAAACACGCAACGTCCAAATCCTCGCCGAGCGAAAAAAGTCGTCATGACAGATGCCAACCCTCTCATTTTTCTTGGATACATGTGGTGTTATTATTTGTTATCAAAAGTTGAAAATCTTTCATTGTTCTTGAAATTCAACATGAATCCTTGAAAGAAGGCAAATTGAACAATGGAGCAGAGATGTCTGAAGAATAAGAGGGGGGAGATTAGTAATATTGAGGGTTGGGAAGAAAAAATATTAAAAAAATAGGTAAATTGAAATGTTGTCTCTAAATTAATTTAAATTTACAAAAAGACTCATAATCAATATTTTATCTAAAGTGTAGGTGTTAAAAAAATTAAACCATTTTACTAACGGGCCACATCCTCAAACTAACGACATTCAACGTTCAAGTGACCAAAACTTAATAAAATGATAACATAAGTGACCAAAACTTAATAAAACGATAGCGTAAGTGATCAAAACTTAATAAAACAATAACATAAGTGATCAAAACATTTAATTTGAAAGGAAAATAATCAAAACTTAATTCATGTATTATATACATAGAAATTATGTAATTTTAATTTTATATATTTACCGTGTCATATCAACAAACCGTTAAAGGTTTAACTGCCTTTAACATTCAGTGATAACTTCTTAATTAAAAACGAAACTAACAAATATTATGTTTGTTGAATTCAATGAGGAAAAATTTTATAAAACTCAAACGAAAGTATCAATTTATGTAGTTTACCATTAATGAAATAAATTTTTAACTAAAAAATAGTATAAGACAAATCAATATAAACTTAAAGAACAAATTTTATTATATATATATTTTTTATAAATTTTAAATTTAATCTTAATCCTATTTGTAATGGAGAGGAAATGAGACTTAAAATGTCAAAAAGATTTTTTATAATAAATCTAGAACTCATAATTTAAAAATATACTATAAAAGTTAACTAACCGATGAAATATGTTACGTACCTAATTTCTAAATTTTAGATACATTTCAAATTAATTTACGGAATCTCCTTTGCTTGAATTACTGGAAAAAGAATAAAGAAATGTTTCCTTTTCCAAAGAATATTATATAACTGGCATGTGGCAGCACATGCAAGTCAAGCTGGAACTTTTAGATATATCATTTACAAGCTAAGTATCTCAATCTCCAACACAATTGATGGTATTGATTAAACATATGTTATATGATAAAATATTTAGGTCTAAGTGTTTCATAATAATTATCTTAAAGACGGTCTTTCAAATTAATTAAAATACTATTCATAATACTGTTTTGTAATAAAATAATTATTTTTCATAATAATATTTAAATAGTTAATTAATTATAATGGGAAGTACTTCCTACTGGAAAAATGATATTTGCAATTCCGAATTACAAAAATCGCTAAACCGACATCGTTTAGGAGGTCCCGCCGCTTGGCTTTAAAAGTCGACTATTCAGCTTTCCAAAAGAAAAAGAATCCCCTATTGATGCTTTCGGCTGATTTGCCCAAAGTTTCTCTTTTCTTCTGTGTGCGTAGGGGGAAATAGAATCGTATGATCTTGTTTTTCTCCCCTTTTCTAAACCCTAATTTACTTTTAGTCCCTCAGAACCTACCATTGAAAGCCTTAAACCTCGAGAAAATTGGTTGTTATTTGATATAATGTGTCTTTACTAATTGGGGATTTGGGGCAGAATTTTAAACTCATTGACGGGATTCACCTAGTTGTTCTTTTTGCATTTTCTTGGTTGTTTTAAGAATTTTGAGCAGACTTGACCAGCGAGTTGACTCGATAACGCAGTGAGGTAAAAAAATTCTTTGAAGTTATTTTAGGTTGAATTTGGAGAATGTGATGATGGAGGGAAACAATGGATTTGGTAGTCTAGATAATGCGAACACAAGCGAGAGTAAGCCACCACATCCCCGTGCACCGTCGTATGGGCTGCAGTGTCCTAGCAGTAATGGCGTTTTGAAGCCTTGTAAGAAGTCCCTAGTTCGACATCCCTCTCTTGTAAGTTCCCTTATCTTTTATTTATTTATTTTTTGTGTTAATCGGCGGCATTTTAATTGGCGGTGGTTTTTCACTTGTGAAGGAGCTAGTGCATTCTGCAGTATTACCGGATTTCATTTCTTTATTTATTTTGGGTTACTTGGAATCTTGAATAGTATGATCATATATGCGATTCTCCAAAGTTTACAATTGAATGGAAATAAATGGAAGGGGAAAAAGAAAAAAAATTGTAGATGACCAGCCGTTATTAAAAAATTGATATTCCTGTGTTTTGCCATGTTTGACAATTTCTTTTGAGAATTCTAGATGTTTGTTTTCGTTGGATGAAATGTGTGCACTTATTGTCCTTCATGAAAATCACATTTTTTTTGTTTTGTATTGTAATTTTAGCAGGTGAAGTCAAAGGCATTGGATATTGCTATAGGAAATGGACATGCGGTGGAAAACCATGGTGCTGAGTTCATCCCTATTGTCCGTTCTGGAGCATGGGCTGACATAGGGTTAAGAACAAGCATGGAAGATGTATATCTGTGTGTTGATGATTTTATGCATGATTACGGTCTCAAGAATTTTGCTGATGGGCCTAGTGCCTTTTATGGGGTGTGTACCTTACCTAATTATTTTAGGCCTCTAGTGTGCTTATTTTGTTTTTAAATATAATCATGATAAAGCATGTTTTAGATCTGACATTTCTTTTAGAGTAATTTTCCTTTTCAAGTACATTTTTCTAGTAAGTAGTGTTGAACTATGATGTTCTTTTAGATCTCAACTGTTTAGTTCATTCACAGAGCATTGAAAACTATTTTTCTATTAGTTTTTCCAAAGGTTTGGTGCTTCCTTACATGATCTTACCTGCAAAAGAAAAGAAGTACCTGGTAGATGGATGACCTTGTATTTGTTAAGTTTTATAAACCATAGGAATACGACCAATTTTGATTGGAATGGTTGATTGGTTACTTTGCATCTGTTTATGCTTTGTTAGCTGATTTTAGTTCCCATTTTCAACTTTCTTTTTGGTGGTCAGGTGTTCGATGGACATGGTGGGAAACATGCTGCTGACTTTGCTTGCAATCATTTGCCAAGGTTCATTGTTGAGGATGAAGACTTTCCTGGAGAGATTGAGGGGGCTGTTGCTTCAGCATTTCTTCAAACTGATACTGCTTTTGCAGAAGCTTGTTTGTCGGATTCTGCCCTTGCTTCTGGTGCCACTGCTTTGGTAGCTCTTGTTCTTGGGAGGTTAGAATTGTCTGCTAACAGAAATTATTTTTGTTTGAGCAATACTTTTCTTTATCTTAACGTGTAATACAATAGCATCACCACATGCCTTCAGTTTGGAGGCATTGTCAATTAATTACATGGTTTGGTAATGTGCTCTTACCTGACAAAATTGCGGATGGCTGTCCAATTTCACCATTCCTCTTTCCAGTGATAAAAATTATCTCTATGGTCATGCAGTAAACTAATACAGTATTCAAACAAAGCCAACAACCATGGTTTCGGTTGAAGGTTGCAAGTTGTATTCTAAATTATTTATTTTACATTCCAAATTATTTTTGCATTTTCCTATTAAGTGACAATTTTAAGATACCTAGGAGCTTAGAGGAGTAATAACACCAGTGCATTGTTTCTGTGATGATATATGGTGATTAGTGAACATTAAAACTTGTTTGCAAAGGTTATTGGGTGTGTATATATCTGCTTAAACAATATCAAAAAGAGTGGTTTAAATTTATGTTTTAAGGCATTACTTATAAATCTAAGATATGGATGTTAATTGATTATATTTGCTAATTCTTTTTTGTTTGATCCCCTATCATTTGGTGTAAGTCTTATGTCAGATTTTAATTTACTATCCAGGTTTAACTAGTGATGATATGTTCTCAACATTTATTTGTTGACTTACTTTCTGATTACAGAATGTTGGTTGTGGCAAATGCTGGAGATTGTCGAGCAGTTCTATGTCGTGGTGGGAAAGCAATTGAAATGTCAAGAGATCACAAACCCATGTGTAATAGAGAGAGAAGGCGCATTGAGGCATGTGGAGGTTCTGTTTATGATGGTTATCTTAATGGACAGCTTAATGTGGCTCGTGCATTGGGGGATTGGCACATGGAAGGAATGAAAGGTGCAGATGGTGGACCGCTAAGTGCAGAGCCTGAGCTTATGACTGCAGAACTAACTGAGGAGGACGAATTTCTTATCATAGGGTGTGATGGGATTTGGGATGTTTTTCTAAGCCAGAATGCAGTTGATTTTGCTAGGCGGAGGCTTCAGGAGCATAATGATCCTGCCATGTGCAGCAAGGATCTGGTTGATGAAGCTTTGAAAAGGAAAAGTGGGGATAACTTGACTGTTGTCGTGGTATGCTTTCAATCCAATCCACCCCCAAACTTGATCGTCCCCCGTGCGAGGGTGCAGAGGAGCTTTTCTGCTGAGGGTTTAAGGGAGTTACAAAGCTTCTTGGATAGTCTGGGAAACTAAGATGGTGATGACAAATGCTTTTGCCCTATATTTGTCCTTTACGTTAGATGGTAGTTTTAGGTACGGAGAGTTTCGACTGTAAGATACGCGGCGGAGAGTCATTCCATTGTTTCCAAAGTAGGAGCTTAAATTACTTCACCTTCATTTTGGTCATTTGTTAAGGCACATACTGAAACGGGAGTTATTTTTAATCTAAAATGCAGGTCTTTAGGTGGAAATGGATGCTTCATTCATTGTTTATTTCTACTTGTTTGGTTAGAAGAGCAAAAACATTGTTTTTACATGCTTTTGCGTGACCGATTAGACCAGCTTCGATGCTCGTGTTCAGACCATTGATATTTTTCTGTCCTTTAATTGTATAAAAATTAAATAATTTCTTGTTTTTAAATGTATATTCAGGCCCATAATTGTTTTTTATTTATTTGTGGTGGCAAAGTCGGTACTCTGTTCATGACTAACAATAATTAAAAACGGCTTAATTATGAAAGCATTAAAAATAATGAGTAAAAATAAGCACTTATGAAGCAAAGGTGATAGTATAGTTGTATATATATGTAAACACTTCATTATAATTAAGAGCTAACTTTACTGCGTAATTTACACAAACTTCTCTAGGTCACACATTAAGAGCTAGCTTTAAAGGGTAACCTGCAATGACAGAATTCTTTATAGCTCCCAGAAACATGTGGCAGGACTCATAATATATATATAGCAATCACACAAGAGAAATGTCTCTGACTGAATAGGGAGAGGAACACACAAATACTTGTATTCCATCAATAAAATTGTAAGCTCAACCCACACAACCGTTTTCTATCATCTACCATCTAATCTGACTTTTTTATCATCCACACCAGAAAATATGAGCTTCGTTTTGGATTATAATTCTCCGTTCCAAATTTGTAATGTGTTAATTTAAAATAAAATAAGATACTTAGAAAAATTTAAATATCATAATCATAATATTAGAGTATTAAACTTTTAAATTTCTAGAATCTCATCCACATAGCAGATGACAGAACATGGGGCATGGCTAGAGGGGTTGGTTGCTGCTTTCGCCTCCGCTTGAGTAATTGAAATTCTAATCTCTATCAATTGTATTTAATCCCTTTTAAAGCAACTTTTTTCACTCTGACCCATACAACTTTATAATTTTATTTTGACCTCCCCAATAATACGAATTCCCTGGCTTCAACTTGCGTACATGTTTTTTTATGTCATCACACTCTTATCCTATGTAAAATGTCAATTCCATTTTTCTATTAAAAAGAATATAGAGATGGATTAAAGATAAAATAAGTAGCACTAATTAAACCAGATATAACTCAGGTTGAAAAATACAAATATTATTGTATGGGGGAAAAACCCTTTAGACTTTAGTAGACCTATCGAGAAGGCAGAAGAATGAGATCCATGAAACGCAATGTTGAAAACTTCAGACCCTGCCACAGAAAAGTATATACCAGTACATGAGTTTAAAAGCAATTATTGGTTTACACATGTGTCAACGCACATTTTCGTCCTATTAAGATTCAAACTCTTAAAAATAGGATAAAATTTTATTAGGATTCAAACTCCTAAAAATAGGATAGAGTTCTACTAAGATTTAAATTCCTAAAGATAGGATCCACAAGCACTATAAATAGCCATTGTAACTCATCATTGTTACACACAAAACATAGAGGAAAGCACGGGAAGATACAAAGGCAAAACTATTGTAAAGGATTCGAAAAGGAAATAAAAGGTAAGATTTTCTTTTTTCTTTCTTTTGCATGTGCACGTTATTTTTCTTGATATTTGGTTCAAATAACCCAAAACGTGGGTTGTGCCGATGACCAAAATGGGTGGGGTTTCGAAGTTTCGAACCTAGATCTACCCGAGGCTTATTTTTAAAAACCGGTTTGATTTTCAATTAAAGGAGGGGAAGAGCTTTTTAAAAATCTATATTAGTCCCCTTATTTATTATATAGATATTTTATTCATTTATTTTTATTATTCATGTTATTATTATTATATGTATATATATATATATTAAATTATTTTCATTTATTTTTTTACTATATTTTATTATTATATATATATATATATCTTTAATATTTTACTTATAAGTCTAATATTACTATATATATTGTAATTATCTTTATCTAGTCGTATATATTTTTTATACTTTTAATAGTTTATTTATATACCTATTATTAAATATATATTCTTAATTATTTTTATTTGATTATTTCTTTATTTATGTAATATATCTTATAACTTTATATATTATATTTTTTTTATTTTCGTTTTTTATTCATTATTATTATTATTATTTTTTTTAAAAAACCTTGTGTCTTTATCATTATTATTATTAAACATTATATTATATACTACTAACCTAGAGGGTCCATTTTTTTGTCTTATTTATTACTAAAGCCCCCACTTTCGGTGAATTGGGAGGATAGCTTTTCTATTTTTAAGCATTTGGTATATATATATATAACTTATTTATTTTATTAATACTTTGATATATATATATATATATATATATTTATATTTTTTTCCTTTTTTTCAAATATTACTATATATAATTATTACTTTACTATTTTTTTTTCTTATCTTACTTATTTATTTTATTTATTTTATTTTTTCCTTGTATCTTATTTGTTTTCTTTACCTTGTTTATCTAACACATTTCTCGATTTTTTTAAAGGATATTTTCAAATCAATTAAGGGTAAGTAATTAGGATCGAAACTTTACCTTTTAATTTAACTTGTTATTTTTCTTAATTAAGACAACTGAAAATTACGTAGTACTGAAAGGACGGTTCAATGGTGCTAATCCTTCCTTGACCGTAACCGACTCCCGAGCCCGACATATTTCTGGTAAGACGCAGATCAGGTAAGAAATAGGGTATCCGATCAACCCATTTATTTTTAAATAAATGATCGGTGGCGACTCCAATCCACATTTTTCTAAGTCGAAGCCCAATTTCGAGGTCCAACTGAAAGACGGTTGCGACAACATGCACAAGAATGCATATTAATTTTGTCTTAATAAAGGGTGATATAGTAGTGTTCATACTGTTGGTATTCGATGTTAATGGATGAAGCAGAGGGGTTTGCAATGGCGCCGAAAGCAGTGGTGGAAAGAACAATTGTAGCACCGCTAGCAGAAGGCCTTGACACCGATGTGTCCGCTCGATCCACGATCTTAATTTCTATAGTTTCACTTGGATTGCAAGTTCCGGGGATAGCCGCGCTGATGCACCTAACCAAATATTGCCGCCCACATGAAGCACCGTTGTCCCATATCCCATCCCCGGCCGCCGCAAACAAGTTGTTCGTCGGAAACATGGAGGCATCGTCCCCAAAGCAGGCGGTGGCTGCCCCCGAGACAATTAAAAACCTCATAAACACTTGATTGTGCTATGTATATACCTCATAAATAATAAGATCACTTACGAAGATATGGGGGGCTGTACTTAGCAGCCGTGCCGACATCGGCGAAAGACGGATGGAAGAACGTTGTTACAAAGAGAAAGATGGTGAAGAGCCATGGATGTATCCGCTTCGACATTTCTGCAGATTTCAAAGAAACTGCCGTGGGTTTCATATGAGGAAGAAGTTGTAGGTGTAGGGATTTTTTTTTTTTTTGAGAATGTAGGGAATTCTTTTAAATAAGCACGGTGATGCTGATTTTGTAGATTTGTTTCTCTTTTTGACGATGGTTATCTATCACAAAAAGTAATTGAGTTATTGCCGTGTACGTTTGAACATATCAAAACTTGGTGTAAATATAGAACATTCCATGATAATAATTGAAGGAAATAAATAAATAGAAATTTTCTTATACTATATTTTTTATATAAAAAGTTTTCATGTATGTATAAAGAATTCGAGAAACATGTTTATTGTTAATTTATTCAACTTATTTTAGTTTTACTTTGTGCAATATTAGGTTATAAACCCTAAAAGAAAATAATGGTCATAACAATCATACATAAACATAATACAAAAATAAGATCCACAAGCAATATGAATCAAATGAAGATTTTGCATGACAATTTTATTTTAATAATATATTATTATCGTATAACTTTATCGATAATATATAAATTGAATATGATCGTATTAAATATCAATTTATATTTTAATTCCTAATTCCTAATTCCTAATTCCTAATTCCAACCAACCCTTAGACGGTAGTGAGAGTGATGTGTGAATATGTAATGTATCGCTGCCGGCAACACATGGTCAGCACTTGTTCAGCAAATAGCGCTTGTCGTAGTAATCTTCGACCCTGACCGTCTTAAATTTTAGGGTAAAGTATAGTAATGGTCACTAAACTTTTCTAAATCTTGCATTTAGGTCCCCCAACTTTTAAAACTTACAATATAGTCCTTCAACATTTATTCTGTTTGCAATATGGTCCCCGACGTAACCGGCCGTTTGACGCCATTTGCAATATGATCACTGAACTTTTTAGGCACTTGCATTTAGGTCCCCCAACTTTTAAAACTTGCAATACAATCCTCAATTATATTTTAAACCCCAAATTCTAAAGTAATTCAATTACATTTTAAATCCTAAATTCTAAAATAATTTAATTTAGGGTTTAGAATATAATTAAAGTAATTTAGAATTTGGGGTTTAGAATGTAATTTAAGTGTTTTTGAATTTTTAATATGAATTTGCTATTTGACAGTGTTTACTTCAATATAAATTTGAGGTTTATTGAATGCACATCCAACGGCTGCTGCACTTTGAACATGAAAAGTGCACCTATCACGGTTATTGTATAAACGGTTGAAGTAAAAGTAACAAGGCCAATTTGTCTTGTTCGTAGCTGCCGCACTTTGGTATGATAATCCAATAGGTTTGGATGAAACTTGAGCATGCACATCTAACGGCTGCGAAAATAGTAAAGAGTTTTAGTTCATAGGACTACAACAAACAACCAAGCAATAACTAAAATAAACCAAGAATATCAATTAATAACTTATTCAAAAGGAGGACTTAATAAATAAAAGGAAAGAGGTTCGGTCATAGTCACTCCAAAAGCTAAGGCGTCAAATGGGTTGTTTAAGATAGACATTAGATGTCAAATACAACATTACCAGTTGCAAATGCATTAATGACCTACCCTTTTAACATATAATTGTTTCTAATGCTCCATATTTAATGTTCCTCAATAGCCAAACATGATGAGAATCTAAAGCAAATAGCGGAACTAAAATCATAAGACCCCATAATTCTTGTAAACTCATGGCATGTCAGCAATAAAAGAAATTGTAAAACATAAAGAACACTGCAACAAACATATATATGCCAGAAATGAAGGTGCAAATGTGCAATGACCGGGTAACATATCAAGTAGCTACTCCAAATATACTACCCTGTCATGATGCCTTTCGAGTTGCGTGCATGCAGAATTGTATTCTAAAGCTATAATTCAATATAGATTCAACTATAAAATTTCCAAAACATGTAAAAGAATTCAATTCGTTCATGATATATCAGTCCCATAATCAACTTTTAAAACTTATTAAAAAGAATACGAGCTCATAGGACGCCGAAAACCACAGGTCAGATCAATACAATTCCCAATAAACTAGTACCAGCATTCTCTCGGATTGAGCCTGACGATTTCACTATGTCGATACTCACAACCAATTCCCTGATTTAAAGAAAAATCAAACAAGAAGATCAAAAAAATTTAGCCTAGGACCCTCTTTCAGTTCTATTCTGATGGACTAAATATCTTTCATAAGGAGTACTAAAAGTTTTGATTAAGAAAAAAAATTAAATGGTTTTGGTTCAAAACTAATATTGAATATCCAGATCCTTGACATGCAGTTCCAGAAACATAAAAATTTCAACAAAAACACACAGTGCAAGCTGAAAATGGGAAAGTGCGAAAGAGGAAAAACTTATTTTCGAATAGCCTAAAAGAGAAAATAAATACCTTCTTGTAAGTGAGGGGAGAGACTAAGAAATAAATGTAATCGGTGTTGCGTTCCAACAAATCTTCCTCCATTTTTTCTTTGTAAATAAAAATCTAAAAGACAGAGCACGACTTGGGTTTACAATTTTACATGGCGGAAAACTGAAGAACAAAAACCAAACGAGAGTGCATGTGAGCGAAAGAGACTGAGAGGTGAAGGCGTTGTTTGGGATTTCATTATATTTTATCATATGTTGGAAAATCTTTAACCACAAGGATTAAACGAAGAAATTATTATATGACATTTATACAAAAAAATTATAGCTTTGTTGGTGACTTTCAACAATGATACTTAGTTCATTTTAGTAGTATTTGTCAACTCTGTATTTCTAACCCCATTTTTTCTCACAAGCATTTCATCGAACATCTATGCTTCACCTGAGATGACATGTATATAACAATACACCTTGAATCGTTGATGGTCCCGATAGTCCCTTGGTCGAGTCTTCTCTCAATGGACCCTTATTCAAGTTAACACCTCCACATAATTCAAAGTTATATTAGAATTTTCCATGCATCCCCGACTGTGACTAAAAAGTTACGCTGGAAATGAGAAGAGAGAAACGAAAAAGGAAATTTTAGATCGAAAAGGAATTTGGGGTTTAGAATAAAATTGATGATTCTGTTGCAAGTTTTAAAAATTGGGGGACCGAAATGCAAGAGCTTGACAAGTTCAGTGACCATATTGCAAACGGAGTCAAACGGCCGGTTACGTCGGGGACCATATTGCAAACAGACTAAATGTTGGAGGACTGTATTGCAAGTTTTAAAAGTTAGAGACCTAAATGCAAGCTTTAGAAAAGTTCAATGACCATTACTATACTTTACCCTAAATTTTATCCGGCCATCCGCAAGAATCGGTCTCTTCCGGCATCGCGCTTTTCCCTATATAAACACACACGATAGGATTTACATCGAGTATAGAATGTAATTTTTATACATGCATTCAATGTTATTTTATTTCCATAAAGTCTTGGTTTAATTATAAGATTTTGAGCTTTATTATACCTTGATAATGTATATGAGTTCATGCTTATTTATTATTTATTTTGAGTCTTATCCTATGGTAGTTTTATTCATATCTATTTTCTTAATTTAATTGTATATTGTTATTATTGTTTGGATGTTGTATTTTTATAATTATTTAGTTCAACTGTATGTGATTTCTTTCTTTTATTAATCATGTGTTACACGTGAATCACATTATGTTGCAATGTTCCAAATTGCTTTAACTTTTAGGCATTTATTGCCTTTTACTTTCGATAAATAAAGTTTATTTATTGAGAACAGGGAAAAATACTATTATCATAACCATTGATCTACGCATGAACATTTATATTACCTCTTTTGGGTTGGAGTAGAGATGAAAATCTAGCGGCGGATCTAGAAAATATATTTTAGGGTCGATATACACATTTAATGACATTAATTGTTTATGTCAAGTGGACACAAATAAAATTTTAGGATAATACTATAAATAAAATAAGTAACTAATCAAATAAAATTTGAATTTAAGGGTGCAACAACATGTGACTCCGCCACTGTAACTGACAATCAAATGTGTTTGAGTTCATATTTCACGTTTAATTTGTTTGAGTTGAAATTTATTTTATGTTATAATAATTTTTAGTGATCATTTGTTATTTGTGGGAGGGCATTATTTTTTTTGAAATAGGAAATTCATTAGATTCCAATAGCATCCAGAAGAATTACAGACTTGATACATTCATGTTCGTCATAATAAAACCAATATGGATTGAGTCTCGACAAAGTCCATTGAGCAAGAGTGTGTGCCATTCGGTTCGTCTCGCGATTAACGTATAAGATTTTAATGTCAAGATTTCTCTCGAGCAAGGTACGAAGCAACAATCCAATAGTTGAGACGTTATCCCTTTGATTTGCGAGTTTGTTGACAATGAATATCGCATCTCCTTCGATAATAGCGTTAGTCCATCCATTCTCAATGGCGATTTTATCCCTTAATTGAAAGCAACCACTTCTGAAGATTCCGCTGGAAAAGGTGGGTTAATGTGTCTACACACTCCTCCCAGAACCATCTCATTGTGATCTCTAGAAATCACGCCAATAGCCGCAAATTCTCTGATGGCTTAAAGTCTCTATCAACATTGATTACATTGTTTGTATCTGGGTGGTTCAATTTGTGAGATTTGAAAGACCTCTGTTAGGGGAAGTGAAACAGTCAATTTGATTAGCTTCAGAAAATTCGACACATAATCCCCAAGTAGCCATTACCATGTCTGTATCCTCCTGCATCTCCTCATCGTGCACCCATTATGCGGTTCCACACATTCCACAAGAGCACGATCAGTCTGGTTAAGCCTTTCATATTAAGCCGAGTAGCAGCTCAATCCAGCCACTCTTTACAGGAATTTCCTTGCCAATTAATGATGAAGATGTCCACCCCTAAAATAGAGAGAATTGACTAGGTCTTGGGGAAATCTTTGAATGCGTGAATCTGAGTGTCGAGTTTATTCCCACACATGGGGTAGGTCTCCTTTCCAAGCCTGGCGTTCGTCAATTTTTCCCTGGTCAGGATCGCCAAATGACAGTCTCCATCTGAAAATCCTTAGTTTTGGTAAGGTAGGCATCTTGGTGAGAGCTTTCCAGATTTTTCCTAATTT